TCTCTCTCCAATACGAAATCATCTTCATCACCGAGTGCTTCACGAACTTCTCTCTCCAATACGAAATCATCTTCATCACCAAGTGCTTCACGAACTTCTCTCTCCAATACGAAATCATCTTCATCACCAAGTGCTTCACGAACTTCTCTCTCCAATACGAAATCATCGTCAAATATTATTAAATCAAAGCTTGCAGGCTTACAAGTAAAAATTCCGAAAATCCATTTACCGAAATCGATGATTCTAGACGAAAGTCGAGTTGAAGCAACCGAAACTTTGCGATCATCGGAAAAAAATTTGAGTAATTTTGGTAAATTTTGATTATCGATTCTTAATTGTTTATTGACGAATGTTTTTACGATATATAGATATATATTTGAAAACCTTCAATTTTTAGATCTGAAGGTAGAAAATGGGAAATTAAGAGCCGATAATATGGAATTGCAATATAAGATAGACAAACTTAATAAAGAACTTGAAGAGTCGAAAGAACTAAATGAAATGCTAATAAAAATAAATGAGAAATTCGAAAAAGAGAACGACAGACTTTATGAACGAATCGATTTTTATAAGAACCTTCAGATGGCAAGAAGCATGAAAAAAAGCTCAAAGCCTAAACGTAAACATCAAAGGTATCATAAATTTTTGTTATCCGTTTTATAACTATTCATATAATTAATTACCTTTTATTTGCCAACGTTAGGAATAATGATAGTAAAGATTCGGATGATGAAATTATTGACGTGGATGTTGAAATGGACGAAAAGGATGAAAAGGACGATAAGGATGAAAAGGACGATAAAGATGAAAAGGACAATAAAGATGCAAGGGTTAGTAATATTTTAAAAAATGGTTTCGTGCTAATATTTACTGAATTTTTTATTACTGTTAATAATTTAGATGGAAATGAAGACCATTTTGAAAACTATGCCTGCCAAATTCGACCTGGACTATGATCAAACGTTTATAAGCAAAACTAACGTAGACATAAGAAAATAATTAATACCAGAACTGATGAAGAGCTTAAAGCCAAATTTTAACCCCACCTACGATAAGTTGACGAAATGGCTAATGTCGTTGCATAAATCTAGACGAAGTAGGAATAATTATAAGAAGAAGGGAAAACTCGATAGTGATGATCGTCATCTACATGCAAATGGGAGGATGAACGACGTAAGAATTTTGGTTGTTTTTAGTTAAATATAAACGTTTTACCCATGTTATTTTGCGTTTAAAAAAAAATTCGTCGACTAAAAGCTGCCAAAGCTTTATATGATAAAGACGACGTGAGAATCGCTCACTATGAAAACAAGAGATGATCAATATCATTCAAGATATCAGATATCATTTACCGGAGTTGAGTGAAACGGATGAGGAAAATGCATCAGAAAAACATCAAATAGTTGTGTATAATCGATCATAGAGATTATCGGAGGTATGTACTAACTTTCGACTTATTATAGTAATTTATAGATTTACACTAACTTGTTTCTTTCTAGTTAAAAACTTTTTTTAGGGAAGTATTAGATCCTTATTCATTTACATAACAAAACGCACAACTAACCAGACGTAGAAATTATGACGATATGTTGCAAAATTTTGTCGTCCAACTTCCGAACGATGCACCACAATGGACATATGTAGAACCAGGAAATGGTAATGTCGTATATAATTCTGATATAGGATACGAGAGTATATACGATGACTATATGTACGATGATGCTGACACGTTTTAATGGAGTGTTGGTAATTATTATATACATTCGATGTTATTTCGCTAAAATTTAACGTTTGATGTTATTTCAGTATAATTTTGCTTTAACCTTTATTTTATTTGTTTATTGTATCAAAAAATTAGCGTTGTGAATGAAGTTGATGATGAAAGTCGTCTTGAAGGTGTTATATTATATAAATAGGACATTCTTATAATATATTATTATTAGCGTAGCATATAAATTGAACATTATAATAATTAGTATAAATTAGTATTAAATATATAGTATTAAATATTTTATTAAATAAATAACAATTTATTGCGTTTAAAAGCTGACCGAATGTTAAGTATTCGTTATAATGAATGTTATCTGAAAGTTATACGATTTTTTATTCTGAAAGTCATGTGAATGGTAGATCAAAATCTACCAAAGTTTAGCTAAAATTTAGACGAGTGGCAGTCTGAATGATAACACTCGATAAAAACTTTCGGTTAAGAGATTCGTTTAACTTCGGCCGAATTTCAGCCATAATTTGGGCCAAATTTGCCTATACAAAATCTGGCTGAATTGGACTATTTCGACTAGTGAATATATTATTTGTATATGATAATTCACTAATTATTGCTGATCATCAGACAAAAATTGAAGTGCAAAGATGAATATGCAAGTGCGAAATTTAAGAATTTGCACAAATATTCTTTATATTATATAAAATTAATAGTAAAAATAAAACAGTAATCCAGTCCATATTACAGGTTTTATTAGTAACATATTTAGTGAATAATTTCGTAAAATGAATAAATATATGCCAAATAATAATAAAAGCTAAAAAGGTTCTAATAAAATTTAATATACAATAAGGATGGTGCTTTGGGTTATGAGATGCTCCAATTAAAACTAAATTTAAACTATTTGTGAATTTTAAGCATACATTATTATATAAATTTTTTTAGCAACGGTTTATATTATGTGATATACGTAATTGAATAAATGATCAGAAAATGATCATCAGTTTTGTGATAAAACAGGAATATCCGCTATGCTGGGTGTGACAGATGTGACAAAAAACAGTCGCATGTTTTTATATTGTAACATTTTTGTAGGGTACACTATGACGCAGTAGATGATAACTAGTGTTTGGATCCGGATAAAAACCGTTATCCGGATAAAATAATTACTCAATTCGGATAAAAACTTTAATTTTGTAAAAGGTGGAATTAAATTCAATTATCAACAAATTTGAGTACTATGATCGTATTTGTAACACTAAGAGCCTTCAAACAAGCCATAAATCATAAAGTTCTGATCATTAGTTCATGAAATACAACAGTTTATCCGAAATCTGCAATCCAGATAAAATCCGACGAAATCTGGATAAAACCGCGGTTTTTACCCAGATAATCGCACTTTATCCGGATTGACCCGGGTCAAATCGGATTCAGATCCAAACACTAATGATAACCACCTCATTCGTCCACTGATCATGACCTATAAAAGGCTAAAAGGTCATACCAAAACCCCACTAATAATAGCACCTATTTTATCACAATTTTGCTGATCATTTGCCAATCATTTATCGATCATTTGTTCAATTATACATATGGACTGATTTATGAAATTAAGTTTTTATATTCAAAAAATTAACTTTATTAAGCAAATACAAATACAAGTTACATGAAAATGATAAATTCACACCAGCTGACATAAATAAAATTAATTTAATTATATTATTTTTTGATTTTTTTTAATAATATCATTAAAATTAAAAAATTTAAATATAATTATTATGACAAAATATTGAATAACTTAATATGTATGTGTGCTAGATGAATGAATTTATATTCATTAGAAAGAGGTAATCAAAAGCTATCCATAAACCAAATATCACATGAATTGAATCACAAATTGATAAATAATTATATTCAATATATTTATTTTTAACTTTTGACTTTGATCGTTAATATCTTCACATTTAGTAATTTGATTTGAATAATCTTTTTTGTTCAAGTAAAGTAGATTCTGGGCTTTCATATGAATATAAATATATGTATTTAGTATGCATGTATGCTGAGATATTAACAATTTTGTTAATTGAATAAAACTCTGATACAAAAATTTTTAAAATTATAATTCTTACCAAAAGATGATCTTTACAGCAGTGTGTAAAATTCATGTGCACAATGTGCACATGTGCACATTTTAATTTTTATGTGCATAATTTTTAAAATTTAATGTGCACTATTGTGCACAAAATTTCTTAAGAAAATATTAATAAAATTAATAAAAATGTGCACTATTGTGCACAAAAATTTTTTGATTGTGCACAAAAAAAAATGCTTTATGTACACATATGCACATATAATTTTTTTCAGATTTTATACACTGCTTTACAGGTATTATTAAGTTCTTTTTACTTTACTTAACAAGGTTTTATTTGCTATTTTTGTTTTAAATTGAATAAATTAATAAAATCAATTTTAAAAAGTAATTAACAAGTAGAATAAAATCAGTATAGTAAAAAACAAAAAAAACATTTCAAAAACTCTAAATCATAACTCACATTTTTATTTTATATATATTTTTACTAAAAAAAGAAGGAACTAAGGTTAAAAATAAATGAAAAAAGATTTTTCTTATTAATAAAAATTATTAATATTTGTTTTCTTACTTACTGATTAAAAAAAACCTGCTATATATGCCTATAAACTTTTCTAAGTCACCTAACAAAAATCTGATTGAAAAGTAATTGAAAAAGAAATTGTTATTTTTGAATAAACATTAAAAAATTTTTTTTATTTTTTGATAGATTTAGATCATCTAATTATGTAATACATATAATTTAAGCTTGTAAAACATAATTCTTGTTAAAATGTGCAAATCTTTATAAAAAATCTTAATTTTGGCTAATTCTATAAATTGGCAGATATGATCATATAATAAATGCCGTTATTAAAAATTTTACATAATAATATATGCTCAAAATTTACAAAAAACTTAAATTTGATTATAATTTGTTGTATATTAATTGCTGATTCTCATGTGATGGGTAGAAATTTTGTGTAACTATTGTGGGGCTATGATTTATAATTAAAAATGAATACGTTCTGAATCTCGCGTTCCCCATTTTCAAAAATGTCAAAAGGACACTTTACTCCTGGAAAACTTGTTGCTATTGGTAACCTGGTGCCAGAACTTCATTATGGCCCTTTTTCACGAGATTGGTGGTATTATTCTGACTCCCAAATTCAAGATTCTAATACCTATGCTATTCCAATAAGACTCGGCTTTCAAGTTGCTTTAAAACTCAATCAAAAACACTTCATTATTAGAATAGTTCGCAACTTAGAAAATCCAAATACACCAGGTTTTATTTGTGAAGGAGAAGGAATTAATAGTGGAGTTTGTTTTAGTTCTTCTGCTGCTATAAACACCATTTATGGACGCGTATTTGGTAATAAAAATAAAACAAAATATCCAGGAGCAACAATGTTAGGTTTTCATGATTCTTATATGATTCAACAAATGCTCAATGATGTGGATTTTCGTCCTTTTACAATTTGTTTATATAATATTACAATTTTTATAGCATCTATTCCAGATAATAATAATTACGAAGGGTTTGCAGCTAGTTTTACGTATAAATATAAACAAAAACAAAGTGTGATATGGCAGAAAATTGAGGGAGGATTATTTTCAATTAGTATTTTTCAAAATGGTGAAATGGTAAAACAATTTCAAGACATAACAGCTTCTTCAGTTTGGAATCAAACCCAATTATTACGAAATTGTGATGGGATCGATCTTTTTGGAATTAATCATCCACTCGTGCAGTTTAAATTTAAAGAACGATATGAAAGACTATTTTCTAAGACTTGCACTCTTGATGATTGGAATAATAAAAGAATTATGCAATACATGTTCAAATTATATCTAAAAAAACATGTACCCGGAGATGATGAACTTTGGTATCGTATTTTAAATCGTTGGTATAATCAAAAAAGTACTATTATTGAAATAAAAAGCTTTATTCGTGATTTTTATAATGATAATCATGAAATTAACATGCGTGAGCTTCGGGCATGGAGAGTAATGCTTGAAGCAATTGGATGTAAAAATATTACTCCATTTGAAAGGGACGTATCTGATGTAAGTATTATTATAAGAAATATTACATTATTTATTTATTATCTAATTACAAAATATCCTATAGATGGAATTTTGGAGTCGTGCTAAGGATCCTAAAGGTGATATTGAAACAATATCCAATTTGTTTTCAAATGGATTTTTGAATACTACGCTAAATTCAACAATTAGAAATGACGAATTTGAAAATTGTAAAGACACTGCAAATGTTTTTTGGTATTCATTATGTGAAAGTCTTGATGCCAATCCTAATGGTTCAAGTGGAAAAATTCGAATTTTATCAATAGTTGCGGAGAATTTCACTTATGAAGAATTGATGAAAAATTTACAGGTATGATAAATTATAATTGTATAATAATACATACTAAATAAAAAATATGACTAAATACAAAATCTCACTTAGGTTTCGCCAAAAACAGTTCACGCTGCTCGTGAACATCATCATAAAAATGGTCCAGGTTGTAAGGCTCTTGATAAACCTATTATTGTTCGTAAACGAATGGCTGAAGTTAAAGAAAGAGAATTTGAATTATTTTTTGCTGATAAAGCAAATGTGAATATGAGTTCATATCATATTGACAAAAAAACACAATTACCCGTTCTCTATCTTAAAGATCAAAAAAGTGCATTATGGGAAAGATTCTCAGCTATATATCCTGATGGAATGAAACGAACTTCCTTTATGGCTCGTTTGCAAAATGGAAGATTCAAATATCGTGATGACTTGGGAGGATTTTGTCTTATTTGTAATGATTATGCTTATCAACCATTTGAAGATTTGATCAAATTAGTATCAAATAATATTACAAATACGAAAACGAAGGTAAAAAAACATTGAATTACCTTATATTATACTTGTTTCATAAAAATTCTAATTATAAACAGTATTATTGTTAGAATGAATTGATAACTCAATTGGAAATGCTTCGCCGTCACTTAAAAAAAATTATGAAAACGAATTATTAGTACACGATAATGGCACAACAAAACACGTGGATTGTATAAATCACTGTTTACTGCATGCATTTGGCGAATGTGTAGAGCAACACTTTTCACGTTGTGCAGCATGTGACAAACTTTTTGAAGTTTTTGCAACTTTGTCGCATTTATTAGGACATTCATATAATACATTACTTTCAGAATATCAGGAAAAACTCACCTGCTACCTGGCTCATCAAACACGAAAAAAATATTTGAGTGCACAGTTCAATGCAGTGTTAGATGAATTAGATGATCATGGAGCTATCATAGTAGTTGATTACAAAATGCGTATTCTTCCAGCAACAGCAAGAGAAACAAAAAGCGAATTTTTCGGCAAAAGAGGCTGGACACTTCACACAACTCTTATTTTTCAAAAAAAAAACAATGAAAAAATGGATGTCCAAGCATATGACCATTGGTCTTGTGATACGAAACAAGATGCCTGGTTTACGGCATCTTGTTTTGAAGCTGTATTTAATACCATAAGTCCTCGTCCACGTTGGATTAAAATCATTTCTGATAATGGTGGCCATTATCATAATTCTGAGCTCATGGCTATTGTAAGTCATTGGTATGATTGGTATGGAGTTGAGGTACGTGGGTGGATATTTTTGGAACCTGGTGAAGCCAAAACCACTGTAGATTCACACCATGCAACGGTATGTTAGCTGTTGTTTGGTTTTTCATATTTTTTTTTTTTTTTATTCAAAATATTTATTTTTGTAAATAAAAAAGATTGCTCATGCAATAAAACGATATGTTCGAATTGGTTGTGAACTTACATCAGGTCAAGATATTGAAAGAGCAATAGAAGAATTGAGTGGAACTTCAGTTGCTCAAATTGAACCTAATCGGAATAAAAATAATGAAAACATGGTTTTAGAAAAATCATGGTATGAATATTATATTACTAAATTTGTTGGAATTCCTTACAATCACGTCATTATTCTTTATTTCTCAAATATAGCAACACTAATTATAAAAAAACTAAAACCATACCTGGCATCTCCAAATGGTTTGTGTGGGATTGGCCAATAACTGAGGAGGCTGCAGGATATGTTAGAGCAAAATCGCTTCCAAATATTGGAAAATGGACAGAATTTTCACCCGCTGACATAAATACATTTTGTGGTGAAATAAATCGTCCTAATCCTGAATATACAACACCAACAAAGCCAAAAACACCATGGTTAACATCATTGTAAATGAAAAAAGGTATGCAAAAATCACTTGAACGTGACAAAACGCAAAATTCACCAACTCCAATATCAAATCAAATGGGGTAAGTTTGAATTTCTATATTTTATAAAAAAATAAATAAATAAAAATAAAAATACTAACAATTCAAATATTGATAGGGTTGATACAGAATTTCCACTGAAACCTGGCTGGGCATTAAAAGAAAATCAAAAAATGGGTAATAAAGGAGGAGGTAAACGCATAAGCAAGAAAGTTATACAATACTTGCAGGCTTATTTTCATGCAGGTAATCTCAATCCAAAAGACAGATACACTGCTGAAAAAATGCATGAAAGTTTGAAAGAGTTAGCACATGAAAATGAACTTAGCGTTGAAGATATTCTGGAAGTAAAAACAATAAAGGGATGGATAGGAAGGTATAGTGCCTCCTCTAAAAAAGAAATGTCAGAAAAAGCATTGGAGCAATGTGCACTTGAAGAAAGTAGTTTAATTACGAATACTACTCACAATAGAGCCAGCAAGCGGCAAAAAAGAGGCTAAATTTAAATATTTTGAATTTTTTGAATCTCATTATATGTTGAAAAGTACTATGAAATCTGCCGTTCCCTTATATAAAACTTTTTAAAATAAAACGAAAAAAAAACTTTTTATTATTTTTGTGGCTTTTCGGACATGTGATAAATGATGTAATTTAATAACTACTTTTAGTAAAGAATGTGTCAAATTTTTTGGTTAGTGCAAAATGATGAAATTAGTGGTGATCTACATTAATAGCCCCACGTTTCACTATGTTAATTTCTACCCATTATATACAGATCGGCAATTAAATTTATTTGAATTGGATTATTATTGAGTGACTTTTATTAGTAGCAACTTTTTAACTTTTATTTTTTAAATTTTAATAAAAATAATTAGTTAGTAGCATATGTTTTATAGTATTATTATTTATTAAATTTTGTGATTTATTTAGTTTTATGGTATCAATTTACTTAATTTTGTGGCATTAATTTATGTAATTTTATGGTATTTACTTAATTTTATGATACTGATTTATTTGATATTTATTTATTCATTTTGCAAAATTATTCGTTAAATACCTTATTAATAAAAAATCTGTTTAATGGATCATATCACTATTTTATTTTTACTATATATTATCCTTTAAACCGTAAGCAATTGCAGACAAATTTGCCCGCAATTTTACCAAATTTTGGCTCTCATCTAATTTTATGAAAAATAAAGTAATTTTAAGTTAGTTTAAATTATATATTATGCAGCAATTATTATTATTTATTAATTATATATTAGAAAATCAAAAATTACCTATTGATCAAAAGTTGTATTTTAAAATAATCATAAAATTTTAAAAAACTTTACATTTAACTTTGACGATTTTATTGATAATTAATTGTAGCTATAAAAGTTTAATAGAATATGTAGTATTTGGTATGAGAAACAACTTTAGTTAATATAATTTTTAATGTTTAAAAGTAGAATTTTGACTTTATATAGAACTTTAATGAAAATTTTATTATGTATTTTAATTATATATTCATAACAATTAATTTTTTTTATCTCTATTTTGTTTATTATAATGCAAAATTTTTATAATAAAAATAAAAAGTTATAATAAATATTCAAATAGAAAAAAAATATGGTGAAAAAAGTTTAGATTTTATTATATAAAAATTCTGATACTATTTTTGCAGATTAATTTCTCATCCAATTTTAATGATCAACTGCATATCTAACTCATACAATTTATAGCCAGAATGTAAATCAATTTGGCTGCAAAATTATGTGATGATCTGGCCAAAATTAAAGAATTTTTTATAGCGTCATTTATTCTAATTTAAAAATTCACAGGTCGAAAAGTGAAAAATCAGGCACCAATCAGTCACCAATCAGGTACCTGATTGGTGACCGATTGGTGACTGATTGATGCCTGATTTTTCACTTTTTGACCTGTGATTGCAGGCAAATTTACCCACAAAACGGATTAAAGGATATATAAGATAAAGAATATTTATGCAAAGTTTCAAGTTTCGCCCATGCATATTCACCTTCACCTATCAATTTTTGTCTGATGATCCACAAAAATAACTGAATTATCACATACGAAAATGCATTATTGTAATATAAAAAATTATACTAATAATTACATAATTAAAATTATATGATAATTTAGTACTTATCTTGGATTTTCATTATTTTTTTGCCACATTATTTTAAAATTATTTATGGCTTTTCAACAAGTTTTTAAAATCTGGAATTATGTGATTGGTAAATTATCGGTAAGATGATATAAACATGTTCGCTATGCTACTAATGATACTAAAAATTTAGGTAACTACCTGCAGCTGCATACTCCTTATTTGATTTTGAGCTAATCACGTGCAATTAATTATAATTGGCACCAACGCTGAAAAAAAATCTACACTTCAGTACTTAATTAAACATTGAAAAAACTGAGAATAAAATAACTTAAGAATTTCTGGTTTTTTTAATATATACCTATTCTTTCTTTAACAAAATTTTTATTGATATTAGTTGGTAAGTTTTTTCACTTTTCTGACGAAAAAGAAATTCTTTATTGTTTTTAAGTATATTAAACATTATCTTTCTTTTTAGAAGACTAAATCAAAAACCTTTTTGGCAAAATGCCTCATACTAAAAAACCTCATGATATCAAATATAGTAAATCACAAACATTTACTCATAATACTGAAATTCCAATACTTCAACTTATATTTCTTGAACAAACTTATGATTCAAATCCTACCGAATTTAATTTACAACAAAGTAATAATAATGATGTTAATAATAATTTTATTGATGAAAGTATACCTGTTGATAGTGATGATAGTATTTATAAAGAAAAGAAAACTCATTTGAATAAATTCTGGCAGTCAATTCATGTTCAACTTAAAGACGCATTAATTGAGTTGAAAAGTCAATATAATGTTGAAGAAAATATATGTCTTTATAAAAAATGTTATAATAATGAACTATTTAAAATAATTACAGTTGATTGTATTTATTTTAAACGTAAATTAATTGTTATTTGTAAATATTTATAAAAATTTTATTTATTTATTTGTTTTTAGATGAAATTAAAAAACAATTCAATTTGTGTAATTGTGAACAATCTAATTTGGCAGTTGCATTAACACACAAAGAATTATTTTCTCTTCTCTTATAAATCCATTAATTGCATTTAAAATAAAATTATTAGAATTTGTAGAAAAATTACTTCTATTAGCACAAATATCATATGAAAGTTTTTGTATTGCTTTAAGATATATTTATGATAATAAAGTATGTATAAATAATTATATTTTATGAATTTTAACATTTTTAACAATATTTAATTATTAATGATATTTAATTAAAATTTATAGCTTAGTAGTCATAAAAATATTTATAAACTTTTTATGTCTACTTTTAGATAATATATATTAGTTAAAAAAGAAAAATTAAGTTTTTAACAGAATAAGTGGTTAAAAAACCTAAAGTTTTCTATTCTACATATGCATTAAAGATGTGTCCACAATACTCTAATTGCAGATTAATTGCAATTTGCGATATTGCAAAACATTGCAGATTTTGAAGAATAATTATTTGCAAATCTGCAATCGCAAATAATCTGCAAATCTGCAACTAATCTGCAAATCTGCAAATAATCTGAAATATACACGCTGCCTTAACTAAAGTTTTATGTCAAAAATAAAGAGTTTTGATGTCAAAGTATATCAATACCAAAAAAAGCTGAAATTGTTAAAAATTATGATTGACTGTAGTCTGTAGATCATCTTCACATGATCATTTTTTTTGTAAAATATTTCCACTGAAGCGAAAAAAAAATTTTTTCGCCAGAATATGGGAATATTATTTTCAAAATCCAATTAAAATAATAATAATATATCAGATTATTCAGTCATAATCAATACATTATTTTAACAATTATATATATCATTGTATCAAACTTATTCTATCAAATGTATTACAATATACAATTACGTATCAAAACAATCGTGTTATCAAATGTTATTATTTGATCAATTAAATAAATATCAGTTTTTACAATTTTTAGTACCCCAATTGCTTTCTTTCCTCTTCATTTTAAAAATAAAAAATAAAGTAACAGCTTTTAAAATATTGAATAAATATATTAGAAATGTCAAAAACACCCTGGGATCAGTTTCTTCACAACATTTAGAACACTTGACTTTTTTAAGGTTTAGACATATTGGATATTTGAGATGTTCCTTCATTAATGATTCATATTTTGCAAGGATTAGTTCTGGTTCTGATGCTTTAAAAATACCATACCCATTTAATTCATCACTTTGGAACTTTCTTTTAACATAAATATTTGTAAGTGGTAAACTTTCTAATAACAATATTTTAAACTCGCCAGTTTTTGAAATATCTTAGGCTATTTCTTTTGCAGCATCACGAGGACAGGACCCCGAAGAATACATATACAACTCAGATCCAGATCCAAAATTTTAATATAACTTTATACACCTAATTTTATTAGAAGCTTTATACAAAATCATCACATAAGTTCAAATTTTATTATAAATTATACAATTATAAATCTGAGTTTATATAAAAAAAAAATTTTTAAAGAAAAATTTCAAATAAATTTTATTGAAAATTTTAATAAATATTATTAAAAATTCTAACAAATACTTAAAAATTTTTTTTAAAAAAAATTATTAAAAAATAACTTAAATAAAATTTTTAAACAAAATTGCATGTTAAAATTTTAAATACCTTATAGATATTGATGCCCAATATGTATAATATAGTAAGTTTTATGCAAAAATTTGGGTGTATATTACAAAATAAAAGAAAATACATTTTGTTATATATCTCACCACCCAGTGATCGTAAAAAGATGAAACACAGCTCGTTGGATTCGTCTTGACAAGACGAATCGAATGGTAGTAGTTTCGTGTTTCTAGGTGT